TGATTAGTCTATATGTAGAGCAGACAGTCATTATCTCTGTAATGTTTTGTCGTATTCAATCATACTTATATAAAAGCGGTGTCAGTCGCAGAACAGTGCATTAAGAAAACAATAATGTCAGTTACTCTTTCAACAACCTCAAAAAACGCTTCGTTACTTATTCACGACGGATATTCTTACATTATTGATAAACGAAACGACAAAAAAATATTATGGAAATGCGAACATGCCAAGAAATTTAAATGTCGTGGACGATTACAGACGGATTTAAACAATGTATTTATTCGAACCACTGGTGATCATGAAAATCATACGGCAGATCCACGTTCTGGACCAATTCGGCAATATTATGATCGATTACGAAAAGAATCTGAACAAAATCAAACCAATCCGCACAATATTTTAACACAAGCCAATATCGGTGTTCAAGATGAAGTACGTGTTCAATTGACAAGCAACGACCATTTGAAACGAAATATTCGTCGTTGGCGACAAGAGATCAATGTTGCACCAACACCTTCAACCATCGATTTTCCAGTTGTTCCAGATAAATACCATCAAACAACACGTGACACAACATTTTTGCGTAAAGATACTGGCCCAACATCAGATCGATTATTAATTTTTTTTACTGATGAACAACGAAATATTATAGAAAATGCCACAGTAAGTTTTTATAAAGTATACTTATTGATAATTAAAAACTCCGTTATTTTACAGGAATTCTTCATCGATGGAACATTCAAAGTTGTACCGGAAATTTTCTACCAACTTTTTGTTATCCATGCTAATTATCGTGAACATGTGTTACCAGTATCATTTATTCTATTACCTGGCAAAAGTAATCAAATCTACCAAAAAATGATCAATGACATAATTGCCTTAGTTCCAGGATGGTCTCCGCGACGAATCATGATGGATTTTGAAAAAGCATTAATCAATGTCTTTAGTGGTGCTTTTCCAACAGCCGAACTTAGTGGTTTTTTCTTTCATCTCAGTCAAAGTGTTCAACGATATTTACAAGTAAGATTTTTCTCAAAAATCAATACCAGTTCCATTTTTATTTCGTCTTCTGTATTCAGGATAATGGTTTCAAGAAAAATTATGAAACTGATATTATATTTGCTGATAATGTACATAAGATATTGGCATTAGCGTTTCTTGAACCAAATCAAGTTGTTAATGGTTTTGAATTTTTATGTTCAGATCTTGGCGATGAATACCAACAAATTCTCGACTACTTTGAAGATACTTATATCGGCCGTCCTGTTAGACGCTCAAGACGAACACCAATGTTTCCTATTGACTTGTGGAATATGGCAGTGCGTGTAAAGAACAATATGCATCGAACAAACAATCACGTTGAAGCATGGCATCGAAAATTGAACTGTGCATTTCAATGTAAACATCCAACATTATGGACATTTCTCGATAAATTAATCAAAGAAGAAAATAATATCCATTCAGATATCATTAATGCAATGTCTGGTAGTCAACCATCCAAGCGAAAAAACGAATCATTAAATACACGGCTATACAATTTGGTTCAAAATCCACATACAGATATCAAAGATCAATTAAAATATATCGGACGTTTATTATCGTTGTAGATTGTCTTTTTTGTTTTCTGTTATTGTTCATTTACTATTGTTGTTATTTAAGAATATTTTCATATATTTCATTCATATATTTACTTCGATATTCGCGAGCAAGTGTCCTATCGAGCAAGTGTCCTATCGAGCAACCGTCCATCGAGCAACTGTCCTATCGAGCAACTGTCCGTCGAGCAACCGTCCGCGCGCAACTGTCCGTCGAGCAACTGTCCGTCGAGCAACCGTCCTAAACCCGTACGGGCTGTTGCTATATTAAAATATTGCTTTTGAAATGAAATGTATCTTATTAAATGGATATCGAAATAATTTTCTAGAAAAAAAAAGCCAATTTCCGATAGATTTTTATCATGAAAACCTGTCAGATATAAAAGTATTGAGCTAGAGGAGGATATGAGAAACGTTTAGAAAAAAAGACCCTACTCATCATTTTGTTGATCTGTAGATAATCACTAGATAACTATATTCTTCCTTTTTATTGTAATTTAATCGATATGTCAATAATCCGAATCTAAATAAAAACATGAAGAATATTTCGAAGTTCTTCAAAACAAACAAACAAAAATTTAAATCTATTTAGGAAAATGATTTAATTAGACATAAATCAATTGTTGAAAATAAAGATTATCCAACAACTTTATAGATTTGTTCATGTAAATCGTCTTTAAATTCTTGCACAAAATTTTGCTCGTAATTATCCATGAATACAATCATATGATCAATGTTTAACAGCAACATCATCATCATCATCATCAAATTCTTCAAATAATATGACAATCTAATATTATCTTTTTAGAATATTTTCAATATTTATTCGTTTACCAAATAATGCATCTACTATCGTTAACAAAATTGTTCACTTCCATCGTTATATAATACGTTTAATGCTTTGACAAAAAGAATCAATAAAAAATCTTAATCAAGATCAAAGACAACAACAACAACATCAAGATTATTTTTATATGCGTCAATTATAAAAATAACCATTGTTAAAGATTATCAGTTTTACTTAAACGATTGATGAAAATGATTTATTAGATAAAATTTAACATTCCATTATATTATTTTTATTACTTTCATCTTTATTATCAATAACTCGTCATCCACATCGTAAACAAATAGATCTTAATATCAAGATGATTATCTACTCCATCAACAACAATACAAAAATAAAATACAATTAATAATAATAATAATAGAAATTCGAATTTTTGGGCTAAAGGTACACGTTTTCGTAAAGGTTAAACATATTCACAATGGACAATCAGATGAAATAATTCAAATAGAAAAATTCCATGAAGGACATTAGATTTATTTTATATATTTTATTAAATATTTTAAAATAAATTATCTGAAGAATTATTTGATGATTATTTAATTGAAATAATAAATAGATAATCTATTATATCAGTACTTGAATCATATTTACCTTATCATTCTATATTTTATATATAAAAACAACGGTTATATAGATCGTTATTGTTTACCGTTTAGTTAATTGTTTATTAATTAATGATAAATTAACAAAATATAATTTATCAAAGAAGTTATATTGAATATTTAATTGATAATCTTTTATAATGTCTACAATACATATAGATCAATTAGACAAATTTATTATGATCAATAATTATATTTATTTTCAATTGAATTAAAACAACGTTTATCATTAAATAAAACAGTGATAAACAAATTGAAAATAATTTAAATAATAAATATAAATAAATAACATTAGAAGAATTTTATTGTCAAATAATGAAATAATTACAGTTTAGTAGATACACAATAATAATTGAAAATGAAACAAATTATTAAATATTATTTAATAATAAATAAATATATGATTATGAATGATATTCTACCTGATGCATTAAAAATAAATTCAATGCAAAGAATAAAACGTTTACCACAACGAACAAATAACAATATAACACATCATAACCATTATCATTTAGTTCAAAAATATTTCTAGGTTAACGATGAAAATCGTATGAATATTATTTATATACTAATAACAGATCCTGATGGTAGATCATATTCAAATCGATCTTTTATATTCGAAATGAATATCCAAGAAGACTACCATCAATTTATTTCTAAACAAGAGGACATCATAGACGTTAGATTTAATCAAAATTTATATAATGATGGTAAACATTTATTTACCTATATTAAATACATGACATGATAGACCAGAAGAAAAATGGAATCCAACATCAACATTTTTACAAGTTATTTATAAATGAATTTTCATTATTCTAAATATACGGTTAAAATTGTTCTCAATCTGACTAGTTCATTCATTGTAAAAATATACAATTTTCTAGTGTCGTTCTATCTTTATATATAAATCTACGAACAATATTTTCAATACTAGGTTTTTTAAATAGAACGATACTGAAAAAGTTTATATTTTCGTTATGAATTAATCCTATAGAGTACTTTATAAGTAAAGTTTCCTCATTAATAGATTAGCGTTGTATATTGTCATTTTGAAGAGTATGTTCAACGATAAAAATCGAGATAGGCCTTTCTAGGTTCTACTATATATGTAATCATGTGCAAAATTGTTTTAAAGAGATTGATTTAAGAAATTGAAATTGATCTCTGAGACAGATTATTTATGTGGCAATTTGATATGACCTTAAGATCAATTATATTGTCATAGTCAATTAAAAATCCATGAATATTGATTCCATGACATTTTCTTTTCTATGACTCTTTGTTAGAACTACAACTGGTCAAATATTCAAAGAGAAACGTTATGAAATGAAATATTTCTATCCTCACTCTCATATTGATTCTCATCTTCATACTATTCTTCGCTCTCTCATATATTCCTCTCAATGTTACCATAGTAAGTATGGCAAGAGCGTCTCTTTGACCAGTAACAATCATCTTATCAGATAATTAAGTATGGGAAAAGTCAGTATTTTTTAGAAATAGGAATAGCGTATTTCCAGATAAAAACCTGTTGGTAAATAATTCATGTGTACTATTCAATTGAATTTATCGTTATAGTAAAAAGAATCAGTAATACGATTATTTTGTTATTATTTATATTAATGTTGTGAATGACTAATTTAACTGATGATATAACGATACACAATATTTTATTATATTCTCTACTATGATCGTGTTTTCACTTTGAGGTTATTTCCTAGAAAGGATCCGAGTGTGTCTTGAAAACTACGGGATGAATTTTTTATAGAATCAGAATTATCTATCGTCTATAGAAAATGAACTAGTAAAGAGAACGGACATTTATCTAGAATAATACTTATGTTATTATCCTTGAATAGAAAATGAAATTGGAATAAATTTTAACGAGACAATTCTTTTTTTATTATATGTAATCATCATTAGTTATTGATTATGAATGAAAAATTATATTTTCAATTCGTTTAAATTCGAACATAAAATTCCTATTATTTAATCTTCGTCAAAAATTTAAAGAAAATATGTTTTGGATAACTCTATCTTATTACATATTTATTTCTATATGAAATTATATCTATTAACTAACTGAAAAAAAAACTAAATCTTCTAAAATCAACCGTCAAATACATTCGATTTTCTTCATGTAGAATTTCAATCAGGGAGTCACGGGCAGGGATTGATTAATAAGAAAAAAAAACGACGAAGAAAATCGTTTAGTTTTCCAAGGTTAGAAGAAAATAATTATCTTTTTTTTTTTTGTAGATTCTTGTCTCTATTCAATCTCTTATATTTGTACCTGAACCTTATTTTAATCAATCTGGTTATGAACGTACACGTCATACAGCAACTGGTACTGATCAATCACTTGAATATTATGATTATATTCGACAACCATCAGTTCGATGAGCAATTATTGAACAATTAACAAATTCTTCTATATGTTTTACTGATATCATACGGGGACACTTTTTTTTAAACGAAGTTAAATAAAAATACAATGTTGTGTTTGTTTGATTATTTATCTAAATGAAATAATTTATCAATGTCAATCATGGATAGGTTAATTACAAGACACATCATCAACAGAAAAAGGCTTTCGTTCATAAATAAGTAAACATGTTCCATCAATTATACATCATAGAAATTATCTTAAAAAAGAATTTTTTTCTTTAAGGCCACCATATCATCGTTATTATTCCATCTTAATTAACAACAGTTTTACTTAATAACATCATCAAATAATAATAATAGTAGAACAACAAGCGATCAAGTAAGACCTTATTGTTCTGCTTTAATAACAAGAGTAAATATTCGATGAATATTGTAATTAAACTAAATAAATTCTAACGGTAGATAACAATATACCAAACGAATAGAAATCTTTTACATTCGGAATTTTTTATTAAATAAATATTATAAATAGAATTTATTTCAACAATAATTCAATGGTACGAATGATACGATTGAGTAAAGGTAACGATATTTATTATTTAATATATAACGTTTCTAGACTCAACTGATAATAATCATAGAAAAAATATATTTCGAATATCAATCGGTATGATTCCAGTAAATAAGTTATCTTAGACGATAAACACATCACTTAACGAAGAGATTTTTCAAATATCTTAATCAGTTTTTTTTGTCCATTTGAAGAAATTTTTTTCTGAAAAAAAATATTTTTCTTTTAATCATTTAGAAAACATCCTTATTTCTATTTCAGTTAATTAGGTCAAATAAATGTTTTTAGAAAATGATCCTATCAGACAACTTGATTCATTTCATAAACTGAAGGAAAGTCAAAGGAAAAGTATCCTAATAAAAGAGTAGAGTTGGCCATTTTAACCGCATCTTACAAAGTAGAATATGGTTATATCATCAAACAAAAATTTTTTCTTTGAAAGTTGTAACAATTAACTCAATCGTTTTATTTCATCTGACAACAAAATTGTTTGAAGTGTTTAGACAAATAGAAATTGGTTTTCTTCTAGAGAGTTTAAAGATGATTCGTTTTTTTTTAAATATCCGTTCCAAAAGATAAAATAAAACTTGTAGAAATGGTTCAAAATTACTGAGAATGTTATTCTTTATCGTTGATCCATTCGATATTTTAAGTTGAAACGTTTTTATTCGATTTAAATGTATATCATCAATTATCAATATACTCTCGACTTACGAGGATATATTCTAAGCGTTATCGATATATTGACTATGAATAAATAGACCAATTTCAACAAGAGAAAAACTAATTGAAAGATGTTATTTCATAGATTTTTATTTTCTTGTTAGATTAGTTCTTAACATTGAAAAGTTAAACGGTGAATTCGATATCTTAATTAACTGTAGACATTTAACATAAATAGAAATTCAAATAATGTCTATACTATCACTATTTCAATATGATGAATACTATCAATCTATGGCATTCATCTATTTTATTTTAAAAATCCATTTGATTTCAATTCTATGTTCATCTATTTAGGATATATATTAAAAATATTTATCTATTGGACTTTTCCATGTAAACATATGAAAAAAAAACAAAATAGAATAGAGACTATTGAAAACGAGATATGTGACAGCGTTTAATTCTAATGTCTTCAAAATAGTATTACCAGATAGAGGTGTAACCCGGTCAGTTGATCGGCGACGGCGTCTTCAAAACTGACGACCGAGTAAATCTTTCGATAATAAAAAAAAAATTTTATAATTTCAAAATCTGAGTATTAATATCTTTCAAAAATCATATAAAAAAACTATTTTACTTCTTGACTTAGCACATAGAAGACATTCTAAGCACGAATTTCTTTTTTATGAATAGAAAAAGCACAATCTGTATGTTCGTCTTTGACTATATCGAAGAAGACTTTTCAATAAATCGAATCAATGTCTAACGGTTCATTTGGCTTTTTATGTAAATGAGGAAAGTATTTCCAAACAAATGATCATTTCAGTGTTTTTCGAGTTTTGATGTGAATAAAAATATTTTTATTTAAAATATTAATATTTATTATCTCAAATAAACGATAAAAAGATAAACAAGTAAAATGATCAAAATAATATTTTCTTTTGGTACAAAATCCAACCTGTTCCTCTGTATTATGAAAATAAAACACTGATTAGAAATTTAACTAATCAACAATCGAACAAAAACAATTAAATTTCGATTTATCATGTTCGATAGGGACCGGTGGTGGCGGCGTCGGCTCAACTGTTCGGGTTCCATCTCTATTCCCAGAGAACGATGATTAGTTTTAAAAAAACTAGTTGAATTCCACAGATCTATAACTTTAATGTACGGGCATCCAATGATAAGAATTTCAATGTTAAGAACTAAATTAAGATAAAAATAAAAATATCTGAAATAAGAATTTTGAATAATTTCTTTCTGTAGTTGAGATTGAGCTAATTCCTCAAATAAAGTCTATAGGGAAGAATACATTATCCCATGTTGATCAATTGATCGATCTCTACAAGTGAGAAGATCATTTAAATAATCTATTATTCAAGGGTTTAACTCAACATTGGAGGCATGTTTAGAACACGAAGTAGTTTCAGTTGCAGACAAAGAAATGATACGCGGCCTCGTTACATCTATGTCCTTGGTTAACTTCATTTTGTTAACTATGACTTTAACATTCGAAAAGATTTCATATTAAAAAAAACTTTAATTTTATCTGTATTATTTTCATTAAATTATATTTATGTATCCTTCCGAATACGACATCCGAAACGAATCGTGCTTCACTCTAATTATTGGTTTATCGGTACTAGTTTCATTACAATAATGTATTTTATTGGATTTAGTTATTTTTATTAGTAAGTAAACTCTCTCTCTCTCTTCTATAATAGATAGAACTACTCGGAGGCTTCTAAACTGTCGACCATTGAAACATTTCTGGAGAAGGACTTTTATTAAGTCCTAAAGTTTTTTAATAGTTTTAAATTTAAAAAAAGTTTGAAAGAACTTCCGAGATTTTTACGCTGGTATATAAAGGAAATTGAACAAATTCTTGTCTTAACTTCTTGAATTTCGACGGTTTTGTGATCAAAGTGTTAATAAAATTTTTTCAAAAAGTTTTAAAATAAGGGGGTCTTCTAATAACGGGAGGGGTTTTTTAATATGGGACGGGGATTTATACATAATTATAAATTGATTTATTAAATTATTTTTTTTTCTTACAAGTTGATATTTGATCAGTCGAAGAACAAAACGAAGGTATTAAAAACAGGTAAAATAGAACCTATCGTCATTACTCAAGGTTTAACTAGTCAACGTTTGTTGAAATATTTTATTTATTTACGGAATTTTTTTTTTCTTTTCGTTTAATTAGCATTAGAAAAAACGATTGATTTTTTTTCAAAAACAACCAATTTACCAACAAATTAAAGTTGAGAATTACGAACGATATTAAAAATTATCTAATAGACATCGTGAATAAAAGGGTCGTAGTTAAAAAAAAAATAAACAAGATATGTTCACATATTCAACAACAAATATATGAAATCAACATTTTAATAATATTGTAAGATCAATTGTTAAATAAAAGATAATAAAATCTTCTTTAACAAAAACAAACATTTATTCGAATAAATACAGTAAAATATTATTATCTTATAGATTAATTTACATCAAAAAGAGCGAACAATCTTTGTCATTTCGTTAAAGTTTGTTTGCTTTTTTGTAATCGAATCCCTATTTTATTTAGTTGATAAAAAGAATATCTCATCAATCCAACAAAAAGACTTATTTATTTAAGAAAAAGAAAGTTTATATTGAAATTAATGATCATGATCATTTTATAACGATAATAAAACATCCTAAACTTATTCATCAACCAAAAATAAATTCTATTCGAAGAAAAAAAAAATGATCTATTTAAAGAATGACTTTAATCAATTATAATAGAAATCGAAAATAATTATGTAACATATTCTATTTATAATTAACTTTTATCCAACATTAACTACTATTGATCAACGTCAAACGACATGTTAATCGATCTCTTGAATGAATCTCAAATTATTAATCTATCTTATAGAGAATTGTTCGATATAATTCCTAGATTCCTACGATAAGAGTTGATTTTCATTTGCTAAAAATTTTAACTTATGAAGAAACTCCTCGAAATGATTCATTGCTATTGAGTTCCCTTTTCTACCATCAGTTCAAGACCTTAACACTAAAATATCTCTCTAATAAATTCTGCTCATATAGTGCTGATCGTTGAGTTATGTTCGTTTTTAATCAGTGAGATTTTGTCGTAAGATATAGATAGACCTTATATAATTATGGTGAAAATATCATCAAAAACAAATATGTCTTTGTCTATATATTGCATTTGGAAAAACTAGTCACGTTTCATAGTAAAGACACAATAAGAAAATATATCCTAAAGTTATTATATCGATAAAGATAGATTTGCTTTTACTAAAACTTTTAGAGTATTCTAACATAATCTTGTTCTATTATCGATAAATTCTTATATATAGGTATTTTATGTATTGATCTTCCAGACTCTTTGGTAAAAATAGGAGCTCAAAATTCATTAAAACTTCGAGCAGTTTCATCGTTTGAAGATGAAGGAGAGAATATTTTCGATTTGAGACAATGTCTATCATATGGCATTTGCTCATGATAATAGTATCATCTTCCTTTGAATTAATTGAAACAATTGTCTTTCAAATTCTCGCCTTGAATATTTATAGAGGAATAATCCTCAATGAGACTAGTCTATTATGAAAATTTTCTATTTCCAAGTTTCTTCTATTCCTATATATTAGTTTAAGAAAAGATCTTACTTTTTGCGGGAATTATTATATAATAATTGTTTTATTTTCATACTTCTGGATAGAAACAACCAAAAAATTTCATACCTTCAGAATAGACTAGTTTCATAAGGACT